TGTGTCGGATGAAAAACATTTTTTGGCAGAAAAAAAAAATGTAAAAAGTGTATAAGTTAATACGACGCAATGTGTTATAAGGGTAAACTGGTCTTTCAAAATTTTCGGTGCCAAAAGCTGATGTCATGGGGGTAAATTGTAACAAAATCATAGTTCAGGGGGTTTTTTGTATTTCAAGGGGGTTTCTTGCAAATGACCAATAGTTTAAGGGGGTAAATTGCAACAAAATCATAGTTCAGGAGGGTTTTTTGTAGTTCAGGGGGTTTCTTGCAAATGACTAATAGTTTAAGGGGGTTTAATGCACTTTACCCTATTAATGGAGATATTTTCATTCAAAGATTCAATTTTTAATTATTAAGGCACTCTTGGGTAATGGTGGGTCTAAGATTTGGGCCGGGTTTAGTTAATCTTTTGGTATTTTGCTAATCCAGTGGGCTTTTTTACGTGTAACTGTCGACAGGTATAAGTTTGGGCCGGATTTAGTAAAATCAAAATAGTCTAGACCAGACTCCAAGAGAAAGACCAATTCACCAAAGTCTTGCTGAACACAAATTGGGAATTTTTTTTTTTTTTCCACGCTGAAAGCCCAACCCAATTTTTTTGTTTTTTTCTTGAAATTGGATTTTTTTTTCCCGAAAATTTTAATTATTATTATTGTCCGTAGATGGGAAGGCTTGGATTATTCTTCAATAAGCCATTATATACTTGTAAACAATAAAATATAGTGAAAGCGTAAAAATGAAAATTCAAAATCAGTACCACCATAAATAAAAAAACTATATTGACCAATATGAGCCAAACTCATTGATGGTAGCATAATTATAAAGCAAAAAAAAAAAACTTAGGCAGTAAAATACAACCCATAAAAAGAATAATTCAACAAAAGACAATATTACTTACCAAATAAAAATAATAAAAAAAGAAATAGAAGAACTTATTAATTATTTTGTCCTTTACCGCATCTTCATACACACACTGGATCTGTTAGGATTAAAATTGTGCCTCATCAATCATGCCCCACATAGAGGTGGCGCCTCTATTATTTATATATTTACTTATTTTATTTTCCGCACTTGTTAATGATTTTTTAATGCAACATTAAATACGGATTTAAAAAAATAAAAAAAAAAGCATTAAATGCTTTTTCAAATTACATCAATTTTTTTTTTTAAATGCAGATTACATTTAATTCATTGAGATAAGTACTATTTTTCTTTAAAAAGAAAAACTTTAAAGGGTCAATCCCTAAGAGATTTGGTGATAACTATTAATGCTTAAAAGGAAAATTTTATTAACTACTAAAAAAAAATGGTGCAATTAATGTTAATTAAGAGATTTTTGGTGTGAAACTTGGATGAATGCAATGAGCGAAGACTATATTGACCAATATGAGGCAAACTCATTAATGGTAGCTTAATTAAAATAAAAATGCAGTAAAATCCGACCCATAAAAAGAAGAAATCAACATAAGACAATATTACTTACCAAATAAAAAATAAAAAAATAAAGAGAAAAGAAATAGAAGACCTTATTAATTATTTTGTCCTTTACCAAATTTATAAAACAAAATTTTATTATTCATTAAATTCAGGTTACCGGTAACTACTAACTCCATTATCATTATACTTATTTTATTTGTTTATATATTCTTTTGTTCATTTTATTTATTTGCCACCAAACTATACAGAATTCCCCACAGTTTTTAAAATATTTTAATTATATATAACATAAAATAAAATTTTGAAAACATGGAAAAAAAAAAAAAAGTTGATATTTATGATATCTTTTAATTAAAGAAAATAGCCTGGTAATAAGTGCATGCCCAACATTTAATGAACAATCATGAAAATTTTCAATTTTTTTTGATAATAGAGAAAATGAAATTTATTATTAAAAAATAATAAATTATTGTCCATTGGTGGAGGTACCACGGTAAATATCCTTTTTCCTGTGAGATTGTTTTTGTCATTTTCAGACCGAAAAATCATAAAAGTTACCTGTGACTTTGTTATATATATATAGATAACACCACCCCCCTCTGTCTCTCACTTTAAGCCTCACCACCCTTCTATTTCTTTCTCTAGAAACCCTTCTCTCTCCTTGAGATATATATGGTGATAAAAACTGTGGACTATGACATTTTGTACATTGCACTCCACTGTACGATGACATATATAGAATGGGATCATGTCCTTGTGTAAATGCAAAATCGTGCTGGTAATTAATCAAGATCGAATTAAGCTGAAGTTGCTAATATATATCGTTCCGCAAATTCCAAACCAAGTGCCGCTGGTAGAAGCACCTCTGTCTTCACTGTACGATGACATAGAAGAGGTGTTTCTACTGGCGACTCCTAGTTTGGAATTTGCTGAACGATATTAATTAGCAGCTTCGGCTTCTTGATTCCCAGCACGGTTTTGCATGTTTTATAAGCAGGGGCGGCTCAATGTGATTCGGGGCTTAGGCGGAAAAAAAAAATGGCCTTTTCATATTATGCAATATGTTAATTATTAAATAATAATTAATTAAAAATCATCCTTCTTGCTTTAAAAAATATGAATAAAAATATTCACAAGACTCGCAACTTACAAAGAAATATACAAATAACAAAAGTTTAGTAAAAGTAAAAAATACTCGTATATAATTAAAAAAAAAGAACAATATAACCTAATATAGAAAGTTCCAATTCAATGTTGCTGCAAATTGGTCAATAAAAAAAAAGTGCGTTCAAATTGAGATTTAAGACTAATGAATATTGAGATTTAAGACTAATGAATATTGAGTTGAGAAGAAAGAAAATTGTAAAGTTGTGATGAGAGATGACTGAGAAGGTAAATAACTTGTAATTTGTTGAGTTTGCTGAGAGAATAGATAATGAAAGTGAGGATTAGGAATAAGAAAAAATAAATAAATAAAATAAAATCTGAGAAAAAAAAAAAAACATAAAGAATATAGAAAGTTTCTTCACTTCCAATACAACGCTAAATATTTATTGTAGTATGACTTACCGAAAAAATATATATAGTGCTAGCGTAAAAAATAAGGTGTATAAAAAAAAAAGTGTATAAGATAGACAAAGAAAAAATATATTATTTAAGAATATAAATATTTGGCCAATATTAAGTGTGTGTGATAGTTAGAGTTTGGTTTACTAAACAACCGTGAATGAGGAATAAAGATAACTTGTGAAGGAAAAAAAAAAAAAAAGATATTTTAGGAGATAAATAAAAAAATGAGATATATAAATAATCAGGAAAATTATATTTTAGTGACCAAAATTAAACATAATTGCTATATAGTGACTTTAAAGTCAAGAAAAGGTGAATAGTGACCAATCTTAAAACTTAATTGATATTAAGTGACTATTTAAGGAAAATTTGATCAAAAACACTTAAAAATTTAATAAACATTTTAAAAATAAATTTTAGATGACAAAATTGCCATCCAATATAAATAATAAGTTATTGAATTCATTCTCCTCCTACTCTCTCTTTCTCTAATCCAACGTTTTCTTTTTTTTCTTTTTAGTTTATAATTTACCAATTTAAAAAATTAAGATTTCTTTATCAACATTATCTTTTTTTCACCCTTTATCTATTTATCAAGGCTCTCAACCATCTAATATTTTCCTTTTTGGTTTACAATTTACCAATTTTAAATTTTAAAATTTCTTTATCAATATATATTATCTCTTTTCCATCCTTTATTTATTTTTCAAGGCTCTCCAGTATGAAGGCTCATAACATTTACAGTGGCAAATCATACTTTTGAAACACCCTTTAACAGTTAGCAAAATTATAAAATTAATCAACAATAGTCATTATTTCTTAAACTATAACTAAGTAGTATTAAAAATTTCTAAAAATTACAATCTTATATCTTAAGGAAGATCTCTCAGACAAATCAACTCGTAACGTATAATAACTATACCTTGAAAATAATGAATAAGAAGAAAATTTACAATTTTCTCGTCATGTCTCTTAGAATCTTGAAGAAAACGATGTATAATATCCATCATCAGTTCTCTCCCATCTTAATCTTCTCTTCAGAGACTCACCCTAATAATTTGTCGTCTTTTTGTCTTTTTGTTAGTCAATTTAAGTAAGTATTTATTTAGATTAATGCAGAGGGTAAATTTGTTTACTTACATAATAATATATTATAAGAAGGTTATTTAAGTAATAAACCATCAAATGGTCACTTAATATCAATTAAGTTTCAAAATTGGTCACTATTCACATTTTCTTGACTTTAAGGTCACTATATGGCAATTATATTTAATTTTGATCATCAAAATATAATTTTTCCTATTTCTCTCTTGAATGAAAAGTCATGAATGGATAAGGAGAAACAAAACAAAAAAAAGAATGATTATTTTAGGAGATAAATTCTTTAGAAATTAGAATTAGTATTTAATTAGGAAACAATTACAATATATTATATATAAGGCAACTTTAATATTTGAGGCTTTTTTAATTGGCTGGGGCCTTAGGCGACCGCCTAACCTACCTAAGGCTCGAGCCGCCCCTGTTTATAAGGACATGATACCATTCCATGTCATCGTATAGAGGAGTGCAATGTACAAAAACGTCATACTCTACAGCAACAGTCCGTTAGCACCGTAACGGGGCGTATCTGTCTTAAGACTATTGAATTAAATTCTAGCCTCGACTTTAACAGGTTCTTTTATTTTATAGTTTTATTTTCTTGATATTAAACTATATAAATATATATAGATTATTATAATAAATATTATATTTACAAATAATATTTAAATAAATTATACTATAGTATATGATACATTTTTGATCTAATAGGTTTTGCAACATATCAAAAGCCAATCCTAATAAGGCCTTGAGGGCGGCCCAGGAAGAACCATCACCGGGTCCAACACAGCCACGTCCCTTATCAAAGGCTAGGGTCAATCAAAGCCAATTTCGTTTGTCCATTAAATGGAGGGAAGACAGAAATGTTCGACAACATGAAAGTCGTAATGGTCATGTGGATCGATATGATAATTCAATTTTAAGTTTTCTTTCAACTGCTCGTGAATTTTTTGCATGATATGAAATTATACACTAGATAGATCTTGTTTGTTTTTTATAAGTCTTTTTTAGATTATGTCATATATGTCTTGGGGGGTGCATATCTTGTTCATATCTTCTGCATGCAATGACTTCATTGGTTAGGGTTAGGTGATAATTGTAAAAATTTTGTTTCTGATGCAAGTCAATATTATTTTTGCGTTTTTTTTTTTTTTTTTTTTTTTTTTTTTTTGGAGAAAAATGACCAAGTGCGGAAAACTAAATTTACTTTTCTTTTTTCATCTATTCAAACTTCAAAATATATATATATATATATATTTTCTTTCTTTTCTAGTTGATTCCATCTAACCAATCAAAACCTAAATGACTTCTATGCATTTGAAGATTGTTCTATTGTTAAATATTAAGCTCCAAAATAATATAGTAACTTAAATTTGTGAAATTGCAACTTAGAAGATTATTAATATGGAAGAATATTTGTACATTAATTAATTTACTTATGGAGTATGCTTAGACACGGACCCAGGACCATGCCTCCACTAGATTTTTTCTAATTTACATTATTGCTAATAATTTTAATTAAAATTTCCAATTTTTTAAAATGCCCCTTCACATTTTTACCTCACTAATTTCTCCACTGTATTTTTTTTTTAATTTATATTATTACCTAAAGTTTTAGTTAAAAATTCAAAAATGCCCCCACTCAATTTTTAAAATGGCCCACTTCACAACTTTTTTTTTCAAACTGAGTATGCTTGTTGCTACGACGAAGTGGTAATTCCGGTTGGACTTCTCCGAATGAGAATCAACTATCAATCCATAAACATTTTGTCCCATAACCAATTAATTCAACATCATGAGAAATTTTAACCCAAAGTTTTGTAACAACTTAACATGTAAATTTTTTTAGGATGATATTTTGTCATTCATTCTTGTATTACCAATTCCGAGTTGTCTATGCTGACAGTTAGCTTTAGAAATTGCAACGGCTAGTTGGGGACAATCTAACGGTTACTCTTTTTTTTTTTCCTAAACTAACCGTTACTTGTACCAGCTTGTCTTGGGCTTTTAATGGGTAATCTTTGTTTTCGGCTGCTACCCTTGGTGGGGCCTTTAGGCTTTCTCTGTAAATATTTAGTTATTTACACAACAAACTCAAATTAAGTTTAGGTAGTGTTACAACAAAGAATTTCAACACTACAAGTCTACAACATTTCAAAACTCCATTCCAATTAATACTCCTCAATGGTGACAATTTAAAACATCTATCCATTAGTCTAGAATCTAAATACAGTAAGATATATATTAGTCTCTCTCTTTCAAGTTTAGAAGTCATTCGAAATTCAAATCCTTTGTGAATTGTGAAAGTCTGGGCACAGTTGTTAACAGCAAATTATTTCAATAAGTCACTTTCACTTTATTGAACCCTAACCTAACCGTTGAAAGTAGAGGGAAAAAGATTTGAACTTCTTTCCTCAGGAAAACGAACAATTTCAAATATTAAGGTGGTTTTTTTTTTTTTTTTTTAATAGACAAGATGCAATACACACTGCAAACGCAATACATATAAAAACTTCTGATACAATTTAAAGAAAAAGATGAAGAAGTTAAAAGGAAGAGAATTTCAGATTTTCTCCCAGCCGTAGTATACAAGAACTGAAAGCAATAAAACTAAACTAGCTACAATGAAGATCCTCTATTTCAAGCATGAAAACAACAAAATTGTGAGAAAATCTTATCCTCTGGTGCCAACTGAACAAGATATCGCATGTTATGCTCATTAAAGTTGTATCCCTATAAGCCTCAACTATACTAACCCATGCTTAGAGTTGGGGGAAAAATGGCATATTGGTTCCACGAACAAAAGCCTCCAAAATATTACTAATAGTTACCTCGTGATAAAACTGTGGAGTTACCCCCAAAGACTTTTGGCATCCTTATAGGGTCCGAAATGAAGAATACTTCCATCTGTCAGTTTTCAATCTCCCCTTTTTATCATTCTTTGCATATAGCAACAGTCCTTCTGCTTTGATTTCAGATCGGATGCAGGATTTCAGCCTCCTTAGTAGGCGAATGCAGTGTTGATGACCGGAAGAGCAAGTGCTATTGTTGCTTCGCTCATAAACACTAGCCACTCTCTGACTGTGAGATTCCCACTTTGCTTCCAAATAAGCAAGGGACCGCCATGGGGGTAGAGGCATTGAGTTCTGCTTGAGAGAATATTTTGCAGCATCCACCATTGCTTGAAGCAATTGTTTTAGCTTCGACAAGGAGCCCACATAAACTGCTGGAAGAGAATTCAAAACAGCGTCATAGGATTCAACCGCTCTTGCTATTTCAAAGTGACTTTGAAAGTCAAGATCGATGATATAACGTTCAGAGCATCCACCACCACGATGAATGATCACTTCTATAAACTCGTGTTCACCTTCATTACAAGTAATATAAAAAATCAGAAACATGTAACCTAATATTCCTCTTTATAGCTATGATAATTTGATCCATCAATTGTTAGAAAGGGAATTCATCTAATTTCCTAACCAAAGAGTAGATGACAGTCGCAATAAAGGTTTATTCAAACAAAATTTATTAGTATTTCAAATTGAAGATAATGCAAATATACCTCCCGGAATTTTTCCAAAACCCTGCCACTTGGTTGCACATACAGCTGCATCATAACCAGACGACCGCAGGAGCTTTACCAAAGAAAACCTTATGCAGCTAGCGTTGCAAGTGTCAGACTTGTTGAGGTGATAGTCCATCTCATTAATAGAAAGAATTAGAGAATGAACCACCGATAACAAGTCCCTCTCGTACTGGTCCACTGAGTGCTTATACAACTGCAAATAATCAGCGAAATAAAGTCACATATCTATATTACAATTAGAGGAGATAATAATGCGTGGCGAAAGAGTGGGAATCCAGTAACTAGAAGAGCTTATCAAAATGGAGAGCTGCAAAACTGCAAACCCATATATAATTTTCAGTTCTTTAAACATTGCATTTCTTACAAGTATCAAACTGGACTATATAATACCACATACAAAAGTAAAAATTTTGCTGCACCTTCCTCAATAAATATTATATACTGGACTGTATTGACTTCAATAACAGGATCCTTATTTAACAAGCCCTTGGATTTTACCAATTCAATCTTAACATACTGAACCAGCTTGTTGCTCAAATATGATAAATATTGCCTTTCACCATAGTTGAAACCAATGACATAAATAAGCCTCTACTATATTTGTCCTGCAACACCACCTACGTCAGAATAATTAAATTGTCACATAATTTAGGTGTTTTCTCTCCTCTGGCCTCTATACCAATCATTCTACCAGGACAAGCTACATCATTGCGCATCTTCAATTAGCCCCTGTTTCGAAACCGGTGACGTTTAGGTCACAACGGAGCAACCTTACTATAAAATTAGCCTTTTATAGTTTTAAAATGTGATAATAGTATTGGCTCGAACTTTGACTGTCTTGTATAAGGAAATAATATGAACAGTTTGATGTTCAAATAGGGGGGAAAATTACAGTGGTAAACCTAGCTAGAAGAAATGCTATGATATATATATATATAGAGAGAGAGAGAGAGAAACTTACCGAAATCTTATCGGGGATAGAAGCGATGTCAGAGAAACCGGAATCGCTGTCACTGCTGGGGCAAGATTCAGCTCCACAACTACCGTTCTCCAAGAAATCGGTCACCATAGCCGCCAAATCATGCTCGCTTTCGTGACTAAAACCACCGAGCTGACCTCCTCCACCACCGTCCAGCCAATTTCTCAGCCCCCAATCCATTCGGCCACCGTCAACGGCGACCGGAGCTCGATGTTCCTGACCCCACATTTTCTAGCTTCACCGAACCGTACGATCACGATAATCCCAGTACTCTCTATCTCAACCACACCAAAATTCACAACGTAATCTTCCCCTAAGAAGCACGAATTTCAAATTCAAATTCAAAAATCCGAAAATATGGATTTCTCAATCGATGGAATTTGAAAAAACGAATCGGTCTAGCGAAATTGGCCTCCGTTTCTACTTTCTGGATGATTCAAAATTTACAGACTTCGCATTCAATATTGATGGCCTTCTTTGATTGTTGTCTCTTGGGATTCTACAATAATTTGGAAGCATAATTTAATAGTAACTCTATTGCTCATAAATCTTTGAATGCGTGTGAAATGACTATATTAACCCATACTAACCCATGTTTTGGCTCCTTTCGTGTCTTACAAAAATTCAAGTCCAAACGGAATATAACAGGGTTGTAAATTTTTAACAGTAACAAAATGATCTGCTCCATTCCCTCCAAAGATGTATTAAACTCGGAATAGAATTGAGTTCGTATGTGGATCAAATTGTACATGTCACTTGTATTGTAATTACACTACAACTACTCAAAAATAAAAGGTAAAATATTGGAATTACAGTCAGGGGTATAACTGCCATTTTAACGGTCCACTGAGTCTGGCAGCAAAACAGTAACGGAAGTTGCCGGGAAAAAGGATGATGAGAGAGGGACGCGGGGGCCCCTCCACCCTATTGATTTGCAGTTTGCATGACACAGTTTATTCTCGAATATGCTCGCAACCAAGTGGGACCCACACGACGCTCATCAAACGGATAGGTTGTGAGTAAAACGGGTCTCTCGTGCATGCGCGTACTTTAACTACTTTACCATTAGAAAGTTGGGTCGGATTATACTATCCTCTCCAGCATAGATTATTATACAGTCTCGAGTAATCATAAATAAATATACATTTAATTTTTATTAATTTGTCCAGTTGTAATTGAATCGGATCATGTTGTCTCGAACCATTGAATTGGATCATGTTGTCTCGAGCCATATAAACTTTTTTCTCTCCTTTTATCTATAGTAAAAACATTGAATACTCCAAATATAAATTAAGCAGTATCTTTAGGCAATGAAGATTTTATTTATTTTTAGGGATAATTTCACGAAACTCCCAATACTTTTGCTTTTTGTATCAAATACCCCCATTCTACTTTAGAAAACCCCCAACACTATGAAAATTGATCACATTGCACCATGAGTGTGATAAAAGAACGAAACTACCCTTCTGATAAACCAAATCAATTAAAAAGTCAAAATAAGTATTTTATCAATTACTAAAATACCCTTGGTGACTTTAAGTCACTAAAGCACAAAACGTTGTCGTTTTGTATGTATATCACTTTTTGTGTGTTAATTCGGACACATCAATATATATAATATATATAGAGAGAGAATAGTTTTAGAGAGAGAAAGTGAAGGTTGTGTGATGACTTCGTCGGCCAGGGAGGTGAAGGAGTGGAGCCGAGATTGATGGAGAATTGGCGGAGGCGGCAGCGTATGTGGGCTTTGGTAGTGTTGACGATGCACAGAGAGCAGCGGCAGAGGGTGGTGGTGAGAGCAACGTCAGAGGGCTGCGCCAGCGGTGAGGACGTCGTGATGTATGTGGTGTGATGATGCAGTTGAGAACACCGACAGAGAGGCGGCAGAGAACGACGTCAAAGGATTTCCGGCGATGTAACACCCCTAATTTTCAAAAGGATAGTCTCGGTATTTTGGTTAATTGTTTTCTGTTCATTAATTGTTTTTGGTTCATTAATCGTTTTGAATTATGTTTTAATATGTTTTAATTGATTTTTTTTTTTTTAATTATTTGATTTACTTGACTTATTTTTGTTATTTGAATTAATTAGTTGGTTTCTTTGTTTTCTTTGGTTTAATTAATTATTTGAATTATTTACATTAATTATGTGTTTAATTGTAATGGTGTTATATTTAATTCTTTATTGTAAATTTAAATTGGTAAGTGTCTTGATTTAATAATTAGGGTTAAATTGGTAATTGTCTTGATTTAATAAGTAGGGTTTTACTTTTAATCAGTTTGTAAGCCGTCGTAGGTTTCTCAGTATGTTGGATGGGCCGGTTAGGATTTCAGTTGGGGCTTGAATTAATTTAGGGTTTAGAAAATCCTATAAATATATGTTAGATGTTTGGTTAGGGTTTGAGAAACATAACAAAACCAAGTATACGACTATGGAGACAAAGGAAGAACAGAGAGTGTTCACGTTGGTTTTCGTCGGAACTTTAGAGACGGCGTAGAGATTTTTGGACAAAGATCTCAAAGGCAAGTTCTAACCTTACTCTCTCCCTTATACTCGTGTTCTTTGCATACTCAATAGTTCCAGGATGAATTACATGTTTAAAAATAAAAACGTTATCTGTTTCATGTTTAGAGTTTAACTGAAACTGAATTTGTTTTAAAATTGTTAAACTGGTTAACTTTGAACTTTCTTGTTTAATTCTTGGTTTAATCCATATTAGTAGCATAATAAGGACTGAATTAAGGGTTGGAATATTCTGGGATTAAGTTAAACTCTCTGAAAACCTATACTGTGAAGTGTCGGAGGCGTAAACGACGACTGGAGAGGAGAAAACGAAGAAGAGGAGGGAGAGAGCCGGCTCCTATTGGATTGGAGCCGGCTCTCCTTGGACTGGAGGCGATTCCAATGGTCTAGGAGCCGGCTCCAGGGCCATTGGAGACGGCTCCAATATTCTGGAGCCGGCTCCAGGTTGTTTGTTCGTGGGTTTTTGGTTCTGTTGGTTGTTTTTCCACTTTTCAGTGATTAGGCTTCCTAGTGATTGTTTTAATATGTTTTAGTGGAGAATGAATACTGTAATGGATGGTTTAGGAGTGGTCTAGAGTAAACATAAATATGCAAAGATCAGATTAACATAGAATTGGACACAAAGCATTAATCATTAGGATTACATAGAGTTAATTACGAATGTCTTGTAAACTTGTGTGGATTTGGAGTTTCTAACTTCCAGATTATAATGTAAAATTTCTTGTGAGAGTTTGTGCACTGCTAATTGCAAATTCTTAGAGTATACCTACATACAAGGAATCTGTATTTTTGCTAAAGATTAATTGATGATTAAACTTAACATTTAATTCGTCAATTTTGTTGAATAGGAGCTTAACAATATGATAAATTGTCTAGATTTATTATGCATGCCATGGAAATAAATATTATAACATTTGTTTAAGCTCTGTTAATTATGGATACCGGGAATAAACTTATATTTACAGACACAGTCCTGTGGGTGATCAGGTAACGGCTTATTGTTGGATTAATTAAGCATGTTTTTCTAGTATACTTTAATGTGCTTAGTTTGGAACTGTGGGTTTTGACACTGATACTGTTAGTACTTAATCAATGGTTGGATTTATTAAAGCATGAGGGTTAATCTATTCTAACATGGTTAGGTTGGAATTGTTGGTTTTGGCATTTATAAATTATTTAAATGCGTGGAATAGAGTAATTAATATTGATATTTAAGTTTTCAATATTAATCAATTTGTTGGGACTATTCAAGAATGGTTGTTAATATATTCTGATATGCTTGATATGGACTCGTTGATATTGTTATGTACTTGTATATGCTTTATCAACTATTGGACGGATTGGATTGTATGTACCGGTATGGGACGGTGACATACTAGGTTTGGATTAGCTCAAATTGCTAAGTCCTACCTATTTTGGAGTAAGGGCACGGGTTATAAAATACAATCCTCCTTATATATATAAGTCAGTACGGTTGAATACGCCAAGTGACTTACTGGATTTCTTGTGGATGGTTAGAAACGGAGTTTAGACATATTTTTATGTTACCGTGTCATGAGCTTGAGTCTCAGTGTCGACGGTTAGGGTGCGTATATGCAGTTGGATGTGTAGCTGACTGTGAAGGTTGAGGTATACCCTGTTTAGGTTTAGGTACTCATGCCCACTCAGGTGCGTATTGTGTGATGCCTTCTATCCAGGTTGAGACCCCCTTCATGGCCTAGCGAGAGTCCAGTAGTGTGGATATATTTATGTACGGATTATTCGTTATTGTTGAACTATTTAGTATGTACATGCGTATCGAGTCTCTGCTTGGATTGTAGTAGGATAGAACTTGTTCGTGGGCCTGACCCACTCCTATTTTTCAGGTGTACGTCAGTTCCAGGCTTGAGCTTGTTCGTGCTGAGTAGAGACGATCTTCCATTCTACCGACGATGTAAGATTTCTTTCCAGATCTTGGATTTGGATTTTATCTTTCATTTTACTTTTATTCAGTGTGAGATTTTTATTAGGGGTCCACTAGAGATGGATTCCCGAGTTGTTCAAATTATGAATATTTGGTTTATCAACTTTAAGTATTTAATTATTTAAGGATTATCTTTTAGTTTTCTTTTCAGCTTTAAACTTTCATTTCTTAATTCATTTTGTATTCCGTGTTCGTTATAAAATATTAATTGTTTGATATTCCCTCGAGTTTGGGCCTGGGCCTGATCAACCCGTGTCTCGGATCCGAGGGGTATCACAGGCGACGACAATCAGAGATGACGGGACGGCTCACGACAGAGGACATATGAAGCATAGTTCCTTTTTTGTTCAGATAGAAGGAGCAAAAAGTCCTGGTTTATGGTTTCAAGTAAGCAAAAAAAACAACTGTTAACTATTGGTGGAAATAATGGTGGTCTGTTATTGCTTCTCTTATGCTTCTTCGTTTGCTATACATGGAAGAGAAAGAAGTTCACTACGAAAGGTATTCTTTCACTTTCATATATAGCCATGTAATTTCAGGTAAATTTGCAGGAAATAACTAGCTTTTTCTTATGAACTAGGGAAAAGAAGTAATAGAAATCAACGATCTATTTTCCATTTGGTCCATTTAAAACGACCTCAAAAGATGATGAGTTAGGCATGCAGAAGGATCACAATTTGCCGTTATTCAGTTTTGCTTCCATAACAGCTGCAACCGATAACTTCTCTGCTGCAACCAAACTTGGAGAGGGAGGGTTTGGACCAGTCTACAAGGTAATACCACACAGCATTTGTGAATGCATAGAAACATACACCAATATACACCACATTTATTTCCTGCAATTAGTTATGCAAAACTCTTCCGCATATAGTAAGTCTAGTGTAATACCCCTAGTTTTCAAAAGGATAAAATGAGAATTTAATTTTGATTTTTATTACAGTTTTATTTAATTATGTGACTTATGTGTTTTGGTTTCTTAATTGATTAATGGTGAATTTATTTTATTATTTACTTAATTGATTAAGGGTGTATTTA